CGGGTCGGCGAATAAATCAGGAAATTCCGTATATCTGATGCAAGCTTCGGTCGACAGGTGCAATACGTTGCGTGTCGCACGATCGAGTTGCTCGACCCTCGCGTAAAAGCAGCTAAGTGTAATCTCGTCGATTGCGCCACATCGCATGATTCTGCGAGGCAGTGGAGGAACACGAACATTAGTAGGTATCTCAACTATTAATTATTAATTGTTAATGCAAATCACGCTTCTTCCTTTTAAACATATGGAATGCTATTATGAAAGGATCTTCCGGTCTTGTATTCCGGCAATTGTGTTTGCAATCGTCATACGATCGGCAATCTCACGCCTACGTCGCGCGGCGCGATGCGATGCCATATTTGGAACGACCAGAAGCCTTGAAACAAAGTCGCAATTCGCGATAACATATTTAAGACGGGTTCTTGTATCGAAGTGTGCTATATAAGTTTCCGAAATGCAGACGTGCGAAAGAAAGAGAAGAGAGATACGAGTGTAATCGGACGTAAGAGTTCACCGTGATAGGCAAATTTCGGTTTAAATTTGGCGCCCGCGCGAAGCGCGCGCGGCACCAGCCAATCGCAGAGCGGCGCGCATGCGCGGCGGAGAAGCGCGCGTTCGCGCCGTCGCGCCATTGCGGCGGGTTTGCGGGTCGGACTTTAGCATCGGACCGATCGGACGTTGCGGCAGCGACGAACGAATCCGATTGGATGGCGTGGCCCACGAAGGCCACATCCGGTCAGCGGAGCTGCAGTATTGGTCGATCGCGCGCGACGGCATCATGGTGATGGTGGCGAACGAAGTTGGTCGAATCTTCTATATATATTATTGATAAATAGCTCGCGTCGCGTTGCCGAGCATTGCCGAGTGCGACTTTCCGTAAAGCGTAAAGCGGCTTTGAGGAAGAGCCGACGGAACGTGCGCGTCTATATTGACCGATCGCGCGTGGTTTTAACGGCTATCACCTCGCTGCCGTGTGCGAGGCGTTTCACGCGACGGTGTCTCGTGCGTGCGTGCGTGCGTGTGTGCTTCGGACGTACTTCTTTTGCGCGTGGAAGAAAGGAAGCGCCGCGGATGGCCGATGTGTAGCACATACGACGTACCGTGACGACAGTTACGTGAGAAGAGAGCGAGGGAGAGAGGGATACGCGGACGTGGAAAGAGAGAGAGAGAGATAGTAAGAGAGCGAGAGAACGCGCGCGCGTCGCCTCGCAAACGGAGATCGGCGGTGGACGAGAGCAGCCGAGCGCGAACGACGGGATTATCGTGTACGTTTCTGGGTGTGACGGACGTGGTCGCAGTCGGAGATCGGTGCGTGGCTTGTACCGGTGACATCGTGCACGAGGTGGTGTTGTGCGCGAGAGTGGCCCCCTAGGGCCGAAGCCCAGGCAGCGTTCCCTCGCTAAAGCCTGCGGCGCTATCCCACGAGAGCATGCCGAGCCCGGCCACGAAGAGGTGAGAGCGAGCGAGATAGAGATAGGGAGGGAGCGGGATGAGAGTGAATGAGAGAGAGAAAGAGAGAGAGCGCGCGCGAGCGCGCGAGGGTAGCATAAGAGAAAGAGAGAGTCGAGTGTGAGGGGCAGAGAGGGAGAGAGAAACGAGCGAATGAGTGAGCGAGCAAGAAAGGAAAGAGAGCGTGCGTTGTAACCCGTGAATCCGAGGGAAGCGACTACCTTCGAGGCCTGTTTTTTGCTCCGCCATTGTACATTGCGAGACGACCGATCGTCTCGGTGGCGGCATCACGGAGGAAGCCGCTCGTTTTTATACGAACGACGCGCGGGCGTGTTCCTGTTCGCGGCGTCTTCATCGTTCGAACCGACGACGAGGAGAGGAGGTGAAGAGGAGAAGGAGGTAGTAGGTGAGGAGGAGGAGGAGCTAGAGGTAGTGGATGATATCGGTCGTCGTCGCGGCCCCTGGTCATACCGTCTGCGTGTTCGCGTGTGTTTGTTCGGGTCGGATGTGCTGCTCCTCGACGCGACGACGGCGTAAAAACGCGCTCGATACTCTCTTCGTCGCGTGAACGGAACGCGGGAGCGCGCGGCGCGACGCGACGGGACGGGGAGTTCGAGGTAATAGTGGCCGATTCCGGATTGAGCAGAGTGGCGCGTCCTTTCGCGATGAGGTCTCTTCGCGTTCTCTGATTCTCTCGCGCCACGACGGCACCGAAAGAGATTCGCGAGAGTATCTCAATGCTGCTACGAGATTGTATGTTCTTCGTCGAGCGCTTTTGTTCTCGTTAAATGGAGCCGGTCCGTAGATTCTTTGATCTCTCGTGACTGCCGTTTGTCAGTGAGCAGATAGATGACTAGAGCAATGTAAAGCCGGCTCCCGACGACCGCGTGTTTAGAGCGGAGTATCTTTTGCGGAACGTGTTGTACGTTCGCTCTGCACGTTTGAAAAAAAAATGTGCGGCGCGATGCGGCACGTTATGCAATAGACGCCGCGCGCGCGGCGTGCGGTCGACGACGACGACGACAACGACGACGGCGACGACGGCGATGACGAGGAAGAAGGAGGAGGAGAAGGAAGCAGCAACGGCGGCGGCTCCCGTTCTCTCGCGGCTCTTCATTCGTAGTCCGTTCTTTTTCATTAATCCGCCGCGAGTGTATCACGTGGTAATGCGTCAGACCGTGTGCCGCTGCTTTAATTTACCTGCCTGCGTTACGAGCCCGCGCATTGGTGTGCGTGCATGCGTGCGTGCGTGCGTACGTACGTATGTATGCCGCGACGGCGTGATGATAAAATTACGACACGTCGCGCCGTGAGCGAAGAAGGAAATTCGCAACCCTCGGGAGAGCCCAGTTCGACTCCCTTTCCCTCAACCTTTCCCCGCTCCTCTGGCCTCTCCTCCCTTTCCTCCTGCTTTCGCCCGTCCTGCCGGCGCTCCCGGTCGAAGTCTCCCCTTCCTCCTTCCCCCCTCCCTTCACCTCTTTCCCACCGAATCCTTTTTCCTTTCGGGATTTCGTCCGCTTTCGATTCCTCTCATCCCGCGGTTACCATATTTCTTTCTCTTTTTTTTTTCTCTCGCCTTTGTCTCACTTGGTCGCAGTCGACAATACGCCCGATTACCCCGTCGCGGTGAAATATCGGGCTACTTCCGGTGCGATTGCACGCGTCTGTAACTCGTTCGTGCGTGTTTCATCTTCCTCGCCTCCGTCGTTTTTTTTTTTATTGTGCAGCGCCGTAGATACGCGCCACGAGATCCAGTTCGCAAGACTCGATCGAAAAAACTCGTGTTCGATTTTTAAAAAGCTCGATTTAACAACATTCGCTTTGC